TGTGTGTGTCTGTGTGTGTGTGTGTGTGTGTCTTTGTCTCTGTGTGTGTGTGTGTGTGTGTGTGTGTGTCTTTGTCTCTGTGTGTGTGTGTGTGTGTCTGTGTGTCTGTGTGTGTGTGTGTGTGCGCGTGTCTGTGTGTATGTGTTCAGGTTAATATCAGCAGGAGCGGTTAAAGTGTATGCTATCCTCACCCATGGCATCTTCTCTGGACCAGCCATCTCACGCATCAACAACGCCTGCTTTGAGGCTGTAGTTGTGACCAATACAATTCCCCAGGAGGAGAAGATGAAGCATTGTCCCAAAATACAGGTTTGTCCCGTCAGGATGCTTGTGTTCAACAGGAAACACTGTAGTCTGTGTCTGTACTGAAGCAGCATACAATAGTCTTTTCCTAAGTGTTTAGTTACTTTTTTATTTAATTTTTAAGGTGTTTTACACGGGAGATGCAAAAGATGCATTTTACTTTATTTTCCTTAAAGGGCTAAAGTAACTCTATAATGACAATATATAACTTTTTTACTACTTTCACTGTTTTCTTTTTGTAATTTTTAAAAAATTGAACATTGAAAGAGTGTGTTTTGTAGACAAAAGTAGTTTGTGTTTAGAAATCTTATAAATGTATGCAGTGGTGAGCAGTAAAAGAGACCCAGTATTGGTAAAAAATACTTAAGCTAGGGTAATATGTATTGCATGATGCCAAAAAGTTAATATTTGTTCATGAAAAAGTGTACATTGTTCGGTTTATTGTGATAAAGATATAGAAAAATTATAGTGGCTAAGATATAAATATATATATTTAAAAAAAGTAAATATATTAATATCATATTTTAAAATGTAATAGTTTCATTATAAATACACTAATTATCTCTAAATCGGCCGCCCAGTTTAATAAATATAAGGGAAAAGAAATGGAAAAGTCAGCAAGGTATATATCATAATGACAATTATTCTTTTAGTCCCAACAGCAGGGGTGCATTTTACCCCCAATACCATACTTGTGTATATGTAGCTGAATTATTGAAAAACTGTCCTTGAACAAAACTAAAAATCATTGACGAGACCTTTCTTAAAATATAGTCAATAAATGTTATCAATGCTTAAAAATTCTTAATGAGAATCATTTATAAATCTGCTGCTGTCAACAAAGAGAAGCACTGGGGACTTCCTGCCAAAACACAAGCTCCATCAACATTCATAAATGTTAGTATTGTAATTTTACTGTTGTTCTGTTAAATAAAATAAAAAAGACTAATAATGACAACAGCTCTATTAATACATGTATTATAACATTCACACAGTGTTCACATCTGTAATAGATTTGTATCTGTGGGATCTGTAATATGTTCTAATGTTTTAAAAGAAGTCTCTTCTGCTCAGCAAGGCTGCTTTTATTTGTACAGTAAAAAATACAGGCCTGAGTCAAGACACGGGTCTCAAAAATGACAAAAAAAATTTTTTTTTTACTAATTTAATAATGCTAAGTTAAATTGTGCTTCATTGGTGTAATGTCTGCTAGAATGTTTAGAAAAAAATGTTCACTATTTTTAAATCGTATTTTTTTTTTTTTGTAATTGATTATTTTTCCTTTGAAAAGCAAGACAAAACAGTACAAAGTGAAATTTGGGTATTTAATTTCTGCAATGGTAAAACTAATAATTGCCAAAGTGCATGGGGAAACAAATGCAAAAAACAATGTTTGGTATTCGGCCCAGTGTTTAATTCTGTTCGGCTCAGGCTAAGAATTTTCATTTCGGTGCATCCCTAATCTACCACTTTAAAACTCATTAAATATTAGATCACAGAATCAACTTTGCTTTGCTGCCTGCGATCGCATCAAGAATCAGCCCAGAAACACAGTGCAGTGGTTTAGAGGAGAATGCAGCCTAGAAACAGAACAGCCTGTATGCCGTGTGATAGAGCTGTCTTCTCCGTTTGGCTTGGTATGATGCAGATTCTCTTTCATGCTAAGCTGGCTGATCTCTGCAGGTCATCGACATTTCCATGATCCTCGCCGAGGCCATCCGCAGGACCCACAACGGCGAGTCCGTGTCGTATCTCTTCAGTCACGTCCCTTTGTAACGCAACACACGACCGAACCGGGAGCATCTGAGCCAGTGTGTTCCCAGAGCGGAGGACTGCTTCAGCTTTCACAGGCTGTTCCTCTCAGCAAATCACTGTTACAATCTGTGCCTGAACGCCAGGCGTTAGGTTAACCAGAGCTTCTCACAAGCTCATTTATTTATTTACATCCGTTTGTATTCATTCCTGTGCTTGAGAAAGGTAAAGTCACATGATGAAGAGATAAGCATCCTTCTTGAAGAGAATCGGTGGACACTCTTTATTTTGAGTTCACTAGATTAAAGCGGTTTTAGCTTGTGCAGTTTAACAGTAGATCCTAAACACACATCTGCAGTTTTATTTCACTTTCCGGATTTTGTTTGTCATGGATGTTTTTAATAACTCTTTATATGAACATTTCTATAAATAAAAAAAAAATCATTTTGGTTAGGTTATGCCATTCTGATTACCCTCAGGTTCCTCCTCTGTGTGTTGATTTCATTGATATTTTTGATTTGAATCGTTTGTATTTCAGAATGCGAGGCGGAATTTAATATTAAACTGCTTTGGCATTATTTCGTGTTCGCGTTCTTGAAACATCTGCAGTGTTATAGTTCATATATTCTGATTTTAAATGCATTCTGCTAAGAAGAGATTTTAATTCTTTGAAAACGAACGTTGCTTTTTGTTAATCTGCTAAGAAAGTAATTTGTGGAAGTGAAACGAACATTAAATTAAAACATACTAAACATATAAGCTAATATTCAATAAAAACAAATATATTTTCAGCCGTACAATGACATGTCTCTTTGCAAATAATGTCTTTTTATGCAGTTATTGTTCTATGCATTATGCTAAAAGCCACAAATAATATAGTCTCTTGTGTTAACTGGACAGACAGAGAGGAGTCTGGCAGCTAGACCAAAGTTTTCAATATCGCTCGGATTTATAAAAATTGAGGTAACATTTCATGACCTTTACGTCTTTTTTTGGAGATCACAGATTTCTTTGCAAACTGATTATGCTAAACTATATAATCAACTAGAATAAATATGCATTTTTGTACTAAAGTCTATTGGATTATTTCCCGTGGCTCCGTCTGGTGGACAGCAGTGATATGATCATTCCCAGTGAAACTGGTGAACCTAATCTTTTCCTCAGAAGGACCTGGTCTCCATATGCTATGGAAGCCCGTTTCTGCCACTGAATAAAAAATAAAAAAAAGTAATTGCGACTTTTTATCTCACAATTCTGACTTTTTTTCTCAGATTTGCGTGAAATAAACTCTCAATTGCGAGATATAAAGTCAGAATTGCGAGATAAAAACTCAATTGCGAGTTATAAAGTCAGAAATGCGAGATAAAAACTCAATTGCGAGATAAAAACTCAATTGCGAGTTATAAAGTCAGAATTGCGAGTTATAACGTCAGAATTGCGAGTTATAACGTCAGAATTGCGTGATATAACGTCAGAATTGCGTGATATAAACTTTAAATTGCGAGTTATAAAGTCACAACTGCGAGAACTTTTTTTAGAGAGTTTATATCTCTCAATTATGACTTTTTCACTCGCAGTTGCGAGTATGTATCACGCAATTCTGAGAAAAAAAGTCAGAATTGTGAGATTAAAAAGTCGCAGTTACCTCTTTTATTTTTTATTCAGTGGCGGAAACGGGCTTCCATAATATGCAGTGATGGTGGAATTACTAGCTTAATTACATTTCCCATTAGCGTCGCTGTTTTCTGAATCAAAATAGCTTTTCGGGTAGCGAAGCTCTGTTTTTGATCAAGTAGCGTCAACATAAGCTACATTTTCAAAGCATTTCTGAAGCTCAAGCTCAAATCAGTGTTTTTGTTAAGCAGAAAAATCATTTTCAGGAGAAGTTGCTGAAGGAAAGTCGGATTTGTTGCTAAATGACGTGATGTCATTGCGCGATGACATTATTACGTGATTACGACGCAAAAATGTTAATTTAGATTTGTTCGTAAAATAATATAAATTATATAATATCAAAATATAAATAACTCTATTTTTAAATGCTACATTGAATTATTGAACACTTACATATTTTTTTTTAAACCATTACAATTATTTGTTTTATTAGCTAATAAACTAATAAAACGACACATTCTGAACAATTATAGTTATAAGCAGTGTATTAGTAGTTAGTTAGTATGCTACACGCTAAGAAAAGTCTGTAAAAATAGGGCACAATCTACTATGCTAATATGAGGGTTTTTACCTGCATTTTAAATTACGCATTGTATTTTGTGTTTTCGGGTTACAACGGATAATGGCTTACACATAATGTCCTGAAAAATTACTAGTACCTTTTCCATTTTTCTCAGTATTTTTCTTACAGTGTACTAACTGATCACAGCTACAAGCTAAGGTGTATCATACATTAACAATTATTAAATTATTATAAATTGAACAATTGCAAATAGCAGCTAACTTAATTCGCGTGAGGTGTGTACTGCTAGGCGTCTTTGGTTTCCTCATTTTGTGTGATTTAGATGCAAATTGTTTGCCTTTTTATCGGTTGAGTCACTTATTAAAAGTTGCTAAAAAATGGGCAAATTTTAAAAATAGCTAAATTTTGTTGCTCGGTGCTTTTGGAAGAAAATGTTGCTAGGGTAGTGTGAATCCTCAACTACACCTTTAGCTTGCATGTGAAATATTACATTTTCATTACAAAATCACTTAAATGATCTAAATCTGATGTAAGTTGTTTCTGGATATTGATCTAGGTGTTGGGTGTAGACTTCTGCCATCTGCTGGTTAGAGAAACACTTGTAGAAATCACAGTTGTTGAAAGGTTAGTGTAATGCTCATATATATCCAGCAGAGGCCCATAGAGATCCATTCATTTATCTGGAAGTGGCCAACTGCTTCTCCCACAACTTTTCTGAGATGTATTTTGTAAATATACTTTGAAACCTTATAAAATACATTAAAAAACAGTATTTTTCTCAAAGGTTAGAATTTGTTTTTGTTGTTTGAGGCATTTTGAAGTGCCCGCTTTTGCAATTATGCCACATAAATGTGCAGAAATGCCACACAAGTTGTATATTTTTTTTTAATCTAAAACTCTTTTATTTTACTTAAATGTAAATTAAAACAACACCAAAAAACTAAAACAAAAAAGAAAACAAAAAACAACTGCAATAAGCATATGAATGGTGTGTGCGAGTGTGTGTGTGCGCGCGTTTTTGTGACAAATGAGGACATAAATGTGTATAATGACAAAGGTATGACAGGTATTACAAGGAGAAGGTGACTTTTCAGGACATTACCCCACTTTCCCACTTTTCAAAACGCTTATAAATCACACAGAATGGAGTGTATTGAAAATCTGAAATAGCAGAAAGTCTGGGTAGGTTT